TCAGTGCATTTCACTTTCTGATATGCTACACCCGGGCTACCCCTAGGACAGACAGGCCCTAAGTGGCCTATGCTGCTAGACGGTCCTATAGCCTATAGCTGGGTCCGGGAGAGGCCGAGAGGCCGAAACAGCAATGGTACCGGTCAGTCAGTCAGTCCGGTCTAGGTCTAGAGAGTCTATAGATAGGTTAGGCCCATAGGTTCAGGACTTTTGGCAGTTCATTTCTCGCGAAGTAGCGTTGGAGAAGCCAAGCAAGTTGGTGGCGGTATCTGTCTACAGGCAGCATCCTGAGACTCGCCGTTGACAGCAGCCATAGCTGGCCCAGCCTGAGTCTGCCATAGCTGGGGCATCCTCAGCGCGTCTAACCCTGGGGGTATCTGCGTCTGGCCGAGCTATTTTGAGGCTCTACACTGTGTACTCGTGGGTGGTGGCAGCCATAGCTGCCTGTTCCTTCGTCAGAGCTGTCCATCGGCACTGAAGACTTCATCGCAGGACCTGTTCTTCATCAGGGTGGTTGGTGCCGGCCTCTGGGAGGTCAATCTGATGTGGCGCTACTAACTGGGTGTAGGATAGAGAGTGGGGTGTGAGTTCTGAGAGTGGCGAGATACTGGAACAAACTCTGTTACGATAATTGTGTGAGTGGTTCATCATCAGTGTGAATTCCAATTGTGATCTTTGCAGGTTCTTTCTTGTGATTGGTTGTTGGGAGTTGTGTCAGAGAGTGAGAAACACTGAGTGTCTTCTCCCCATCTGTGCATGATTGTCTTCCGCTTCTTATTTTCACCTGTGCACAGTTTGGACTCTATCTCCTCTCTCCCCTTCTCTCATGCATGTATGGGCATGTCTGAGATTGTATGTGTGTGAGTGGCGATAAAATTCGTCAGACAACCGAGTTCATAACACTTGGAAAATCAAGAGTCAACCCAAGCACACGGGATTCCAGGCCCAAAATGCAGTTCAGTCAGGCACGTGTTTTTTATTAATTTTTTATTATTATTATTTTTTTTGTTTTTGTTCCCGGCCCAGGCATGGCCAGTGGTCCAGCCATGCGAAGAGAAGATGTTCTTTTTTTTTTTTCTTTTTTTTTTTTTTTCCTCCCGTTCCTCATCGCTTGCCTCGGCCACGGCCTATATGCCTTGGCCATGCTTAAGATAAAAAAAGGAACAGGAAAAAAGGGGCGCGTTCCTGACTGAACGGCAGTTACAAACCCTGCGGTGTGACTTTTCTGCAAAGCGGAGTTTCTTTCGACTGCATCGTAAATTTCGGACCGGACTGGAATTAAACAAAAAACTGCAGTTTGAAATGCATTTACAAACTGCTTTCATCAAGTTTCATGCAYATGTGTAARGGKGGGGTAAGTGTATAGACACWATTAGACAGGAATAATTTCCATGTGATAGGCCGTGCCTGTGAGGTCTCTACTGTCYATAATTATGMATATCACAACCTTCAACCTYGGACAGGCATGCTGTGTGGGTTTGTATGCAATGAGTCRWGCTTTGTGCGCAATGAGTTGTGCCTGTGAGAAAAGACACTACCTTCTTCCCTGGAATACAACGTACGGTTATTATAACTGTACCTAGACTGAAAGATGCCTCAGCTATAATCACCGTACGGACGGACGTACGGACGTACGTTGTATTCGGAGGAAGAAGGGTAGACCGTGGACCTTTCTGCTTAGTGGGTAATGGGTGTTTCGTTTTACAAAAGAAGAAAAGGGCCAAGTACGTTGATGTCATTTTTTTTTTGAAGTATTGACATCAACGTATTTTCCCCCTTTTTTTTTCTTTTTTTTTTTTTCTTTTTCAAGTATTGAATGAATGAAAAAAGGCCCTGATATCTTTGCGGCCGCGTGTCTTTTTTGCCTTTGCCTACTCGAAACCTGCGGCGTCGGCCACTGTTTTTCAAAAGAAAAAGAAAAAAAAAGAAAAAAAAAAAAAAAAAGAAGGGGCAAACTGTGGCTGTTACACACTTTTAGTTTGAAATAGGCAAAAAAAAGACAAAGTGGCGCCGATGTCATGGTGTGACACTGTGAGTTTCAAAATGTGACAAGTTTAGTGGGGCGCTAAAACTGCGCCAGTCATTACCCGCAGTTGTGCTTGCACTGCTTGGCAGATTTAGGGGGGTCCCCTTTTTTTTTTCTTTTTCTTTTTTTTTTTTCGTGTGGTCCGATGGACCACGGATCAGATATTAAACTGATCAGGACCGATACTAAACTTGATCTTAGCCAAAAGGCCGAGAAAGGTTACCCGTATTGGATCCCCTTTTTGGCTCCATTCCATTTCAAATTGGGGAACTACTAAAAAAAGTTGCCT